CATGTGACTAAATCGTATTAAGAACGCTACTATATCGCAATGTTGTAGGGAACGTTTTTAAAAAAAAAAACACTTTTACAATTAAATGTAATTATATGTTGCAGCACAACTGAAAATTGCTGCTGAATATGTGGATCACTTTATGAAAACGATATACCTATTTGCATCTAAATACATTCATCGAAATAGCACACCATTTCATAAAGCATACACAATTTTGAGATGTTTCCACGAACACAACAATGGCTTCCAGTTTATTCCAATTCCTACACAGTCACCAAATCTTAATCCAACAGTACACCTGCAGAACACAGTGAAATGGGAGATTCACAGAATGAATATATAACTAAAACATCTGAAGGAAGTTTCTGCTGTTTTATGTCAACATGAAAAAAATCCTGAAGGATGTTACAGCATATTGCTGAATCTATGTGGTGATACATCTCAATCCATGAACTGTAACAGAATGCCAACTGTCCTGCACAACAGTAATTCTAACCACACAAATGTGTCTTCAACTGAATTATAATACATTTTGTACTTTGGAATATCTCAGTCAAACTCACAGAGTAAGACAATGTTCTTTCTTTTTATATCCACGCAAGTTATTACACCACAATCCCAAATTTTAATAAGAAATATTTTTTTTCATATTGAACCTGCATCACAGGAATATTTAACCACTGATAGAGCAGAGGTATATGAATTCCAAGAGACCACTGACTTGGAGTTGCACTGGGGTCACCTGGAATATATTGTGCACTGGAAAGGATATAGCTCTTCGTACCATCCATGAGAAACATGTACACATTCTCAAACTATTCTCACATAACTTGCTTGTCATGTATTAGAGGTTCTAAGATTAGTGTCCCTAACTCCTGGGATAGAGATCTGTACAGTTAATAAGAGCTGACATGAATCTAGGGCTTAATTCTAAATCTCACAATTAGTGGGGTAACCCACTTCTCGTAGACTTCTCCCTTTGAGTTTTTTGACATGGTGGTTCTGGTCATATCTTTTGATAAATGGGAATTGACATGAATCATTAAATTGATTATGGGATGTTTTAGCCCATTGGTGTAGTTCTGTTTAGTTCGCGTGGCATAATGGGGATGCTCATTTCCATTTCCATTAATAAAAAACAGAGAAAAAGGTGGCGCTAAGATTAAATAAAATATCATAAATAAGCCCAGTGCACTGAGCACATTGCCATTAATACAAATTCCAGGTTTTCAGATGTGTATGCTACCCGTTCCAATTATCCACTCATTATGCATCATACTTTGGATATCCTTGCTTCCCGATACAAGTTTCAGGACATAAATACTTTTGCTTTTTTATTGTATTGCCTCTCTCACTTCCACAAAGTCCTTTTTACTTTGCCTCATTCTTTGGAAGTAATTTACGCAAAGGAGTATGTATGTAAATTTTGTAAATATAATGTCACAGTATTGTGATTACAATAATTTCCAGACAAACAGTATAGCAAACAAAATGTTAGTGAAAATAGATGCATTGATTTTTCCTGATTTGGGGGAAAATCTCATATGCCCAGGAAATTCACATATTTGTGCAGTTACAGGCCATGTACCAAATGTTAGGTATTTACATTTAATTTTAGTAATCAAATCAACATTTTTAAACAAAAATGTGTATATATATATATATATATATATATATATATATATATATATATATTTTAAAATAGACACACCAAGGTAATTTCAAAACATTATTGCAATAAGTATGACATGCAAGATATCAAAGCTCTAATATGAGCACTTTTTTTTAACAACACAATATCCATAACTTAGCTAGTGGAGCAGAAGCATAGAATATACAGGTTCGTTTGCCCTATTACTTATGCTGTGCTCAAAATATACCAGTATACCAATATTAATAGCAATTACACCGCTATTGGGTTCATCCATAACACGTGACCAAATAATGCGTGAGTCATGTGTTGTAAGCAATAACATAACATAAACTGTAATCTCGCCGACCTTCAGAGTGGCAGCCTTCCAAGGTAAAGTGCAAGTAGGAGGGAAATCATATCAACAACTTGGAGCCAGGGTGTCAGCAGTGAAAACTCACCCTGGATCTCTATTGAGAACACTCAAAAAATACACCGAAAACTACATTACTCATGATCACTTTTGGTCTCATCACATAATCGCAATTGTAAATACATCACTAGTTGCTCAGCTGAAAAACAAACATGTGAAGAAAATCTATTTTGCTAAATAACAAAATGGGGGAACTAGAGGCATTAGCATACACTAAACAATATGATATAATAGGCAAAACTGAAACATGGTGGGATGAGACACATGACTGGGCAGCTAACTTAAATGCGTACATGTTATTTAGGAAGGATAGGAAAAACAAGAAGGGTGGTGGGGTATGTTTGTATGTCAACCATGATTTAAAGCCAAATGTTAAGCAAATGGAATGCGAGGAGGATAATGTGGAAGCTTTATGGGTAAATATCTGCTTGGGGGAAAAGAAGGGAAACCAACTATTGGTTGGGATATGTTATAAACCACCTAATGTTAATATTGACGAGGAACAACAGCTGTTTGAGCAAATTGAGAAAGCTGCAAATCTGGGTAACACTTTAATTATTGGAGATTTTAATTACCCGGATATAAATTGGGACAGAGGGACTAGTGCCTCAGCAAAGGGAATTAGGTTTTTAAACTTGTTAAATGACACCTTCATGTCATAACTTGTACAAGCACCAACTAGAATGGATGCTTGTCTGGACCTGGTTTTAACAAACAACGTTGATCTTTTGACCAACATTCAAGTAGGTGAGCACTTGGGAAATAGTGATCACAATATAGTGTCCTTTGAAATAAACTCAAAAAAACAAAAGCACATTGGGAATACTAAAACATATAATTTTAAAAAGGCCAATTTCAATAAGTTAAGGGAAGCTTTACAATATATTGACTGGCATAAACTCTTTAGTGAAAAGAACACTGAGGATAAATGGATCATCTTCCAACAAATATTAAAAAGGTACATTTCTCAGTATGTACCGTTGGGAAATAAATATAAAAGAAACAAATTAAAACCAATGTGGCTTAGTAGAGAAGTAAAACAAGAGATTACAACTAAGAAAAGGGCATTTAAAGCATTTAAATCGGACAAATCAGATGCATCTTATAAAAGATATAAGGATGCAAATAATGCATGCAAAAAGGTAATTAGACTTGCTAAACTTCAAAATGAAATAATGATAGATGAAGAGAGCAAAACCAACCCCAAAGCATTTTTTAAGTACATAAATTCTAAAAAAAATAAAAAATGAAAGTGTAGGTACACTAAAAACTGAAACGGGGGTGTTAGTTAATGAAGACCAGGAAAAGGCAGGAATTTTAAATAACTATTTCTCCTCCGTATATATTAAGGAAGAACCCATGGCAATAGATGTGCAAATGATTGCTACTAAAAACTTGCAGAATAATTGCAATTGGTTAACTCAAGACAAGGTGCTGCAGCAACTAAAGAAAGTTAATATAAACAAAGCTCCAGGGCCTGACGGTATCCATCCACGTGTACTTAAGGAACTAAGTGCAGAAATAAGTGAACCCCTGTTTTTAATCTTTCAAGATTCTTTTCTTTCAGGAAGTGTTCCGGAGGATTGGAGGAAGGCAGATGTGGTTCCTATATTCAAAAAGGGTTCAAAATCCTTGCCTGGAAATTATAGACCTGTGAGCTTAACTTCTGTGGTTGGTAAAATATTTGAAAGTTTATTAAGGGATAATATTCAAGAATTCCTTGAGAAGAACATGGTTATCAGCAAAAATCAGCATGGTTTTATGAAGCACAGGTCATGTCAAACTAACTTGATTGCGTTCTACGAAGAAGTAAGTAGAAGTATAGATCAGGGTGTTGCCGTGGATGTGATCTATTTGGATTTTGCCAAGACATTTGATACAGTTCCACACAATAGATTAGTGTTCAAACTCAAGGAAATCGGTCTAGATGAAAATGCTTGTTCTTGGGTTGAACATTGGCTTAAAAACAGAGTACAAAGAGTCGTCATTAATGGTAAATTTTCAAGCTGGACAGAGGTGGCAAGTGGTGTCCCTCAGGGGTCTGTTCTGGGACCCTTTCTATTTAACATGTTTATAAATGATCTTGAAGACAGCATTGAAAGTCATGTTTCAGTGTTTGCAGATGACACCAAACTTTGTAAAACAATACAATCGAAGCGAGATATTACTTTGCTGCAGAGGGATTAAGATAGACTGGGGGACTGGGCACTCAAATGGCAGATGAAATTTAATGTTGGAAATTGCAAAGTTATGCACTTCGGCATAAAGAATACACAAGCAACGTATACCATTAATGGAAGCGAATTAGGGATAACAACACATGAAAAGGACTTGGGAATTGTTATAGACAACAAACTATGCAACAATGTGCAATGTCAATCAGCAGTGGCCAAGGCCAGTAAGGTATTGTCATGCATGAAAAAGGGCATTCATTCTCGGGACAAGAATATAATTTTGCCACTTTATAAATCACTGGTAAGACCCCATATTGAATATGCTGTTTTGGGCACCTGTTCAAAAGAAGGATATTATGGCAAAAGAAAAAGTGAAGAGGCGGGCTACAAAATTAATAAAAGGAATGGAACATATCGGCTATGAAGAAAGGTTAACAAATTTAAACCTATTTAGTTTAGAAAAACGTCGCCTGAGAGGGGATATGATAACATTATACAAATATATTCGGGGCCAATACAAACCATTCTGTGGAAATCTATTCACAAACCGGACTTTACATAGGACACGAGGCCATGCGTTTAGACTGCAAGAAAGAAGATTTCATCTAAGGCAAAGGAAAGGTTTTTTTACCGTAAGAACAATCAGGATGTGGAATTCTCTGCCTGAAGAAGTGGTTTTATCAGAGTCCATACAGATGTTCAAACGGCTACTAGATGCATACTTGCAAGAACAGAATATTCAAGGATATAATCTTTCAATGTAAGGTAATAACTGCTTGAGCCAAGGATAAATCTGACTGCCATTCTGGGGTCAAGAAGGAATTTTTTTCCTAGCTTGTTGCAAAATTGTGCTTCAAACTGGGTTTTTTTTGCCTTCTTTTGGATCAACAGCAAAAAACAAATGTGAGGAAGGCTGAACTTGATGGACACAAGTCTCTTTTCAGCTATGTAACTATGTAAATATATTTTATATATAAAACATTTAAAAAAATTAATTATAAAGAAATATGTAAATTAATGGTATAAATCATGGCTATTGATATAAATGTACATTTTATTAAATATTGGTATACAAATGATAAATTTATTCTATGTTTATATTTCATATGAGACATAAATGATAGAACCAGAATATACATACCAGAGTATATATATATATATATATATATATATATATATATATATATATTTGCTTATTTTGTGTTTATATTATTATTTGGCACAGTTTGTTCCCTTTTTTCTTCCTGCTCTTTTCTTGGATTTTTGGGGTATCCAAGTTACAGATTCTATCTTGCTGCCTTTGGAGTTAGCACTGTAACTTTTTTTTTTACTGTACCTTTTTTTTTTGTATAAAGATAAGAGTGTGCTGACTATTTGTTGCATTTCTCTCAATGTCGACAGTCGCAGTCTCAGATCAAGAATGTCTTCCTCGGAGACCTGCACTTAATTCATTACTGCCTGCACCTAGCAGGTTTTGTAAGTCCTGTTTAGTAGGCCAGGCGGCACCCTCTGGTACAAGCTGGGCCTCTGTCACAGAAGCCGATATTGTAGTAGGTACAACTCTTTCCGAAGTTCCTGCATCATGCAAAAAGTTGTAGACCTCAAGTTGCATTGGTACCGAGTGTTCGAGAGCAAAACATCTGGCCAATATCCCAACTCTAATTGCAGCAGACTGGAGGGACTTTTGGGATTTATGCCCCTTCTCTCCACTAGCAAGTGCTCCAGATGTTATTGTAGAAGAAATTGCTTCCATACTGGTATACTGCCAAGCACTGTCCTCCAATTTAGACACTTTTAGTGCAGCTATTTTAATACCAGTCTCTGCCAAAATGTCAAGTAAAATTCTGTTTTATACACATACAGACACAAGATTACATTTTGAATTTTTGTAAACATGATTTATTGAATCAATATATATATATATATATATATATATATATATATATATATAATTTATATTTACATTTAAACACTTCTAATGAAGTTACAGGATCAATGTGGGACATAATGCTTCCAAATCAAATGTCTAGGTATCCTGCTCAGAATGACATCCACTGGACCACCTTCTGCTAAAAGGTAAGCAAGAGGGTAGCAAATAAAAAAGCCTCCCTCAACACTGAGATACCTCACAACACAGCCTTACACACACAACACTCAGCCACAGTCAGACGCCCTCCACACTAAACACACAAATGTTAGCTACCGCACACACAACACTCAATCAGCACACACAAGTGCACACAACCTCCCAATTACATCTCTCAACCTCCTCAACACACGCACAACACTCAACCAATACATAAACAACACTAAATCTTCTACAAACCCATGCAATACAGTAACCACAACAATACTCATAGAATAGAGGGTGATCTAATCTGTCTAGCACCCTTGGGGATCTTACCTGGCACTCGAAGGCATGGGGTCCTCCTTAAATAACTCATTAGTGCAGTGAGGTGTTAATAGTTTGTTTACAGTGTAATAGTTTTGTTTGTTTTTTCACAGTGAAGAATTGGTTAATAATTTAGCGGGATTGTGGGAGGATCGTTCTGAGCTCATAAAAAATTTGGTTACTAAGTTATACATTGGCCAAAGGTTTTATTTGTACTTTATGGGGCAGGCACTTAATAGAAGATAGTTAGATCATTTACTACTGTAAATAGTAAGTCTCCAAGCTTCCTTGTGATCACTGAGAATAAGCTGTGAGAGCAGACAAACAGAATATCTAATGTTGTGTATGCCTAAAAATATTTTCCAACATACAGTTGCTCTCTGAGATCAAGCGCATGTTACCTAATAATCGAAGAAAAAAGTAACCTGCACTCTTCCCAAATCACTATGTATATTTAAACAAATGGAGGTTTAGTTACTCCAATGGCCATGAGAGAGAATGCCCACCTGCCACGTCAAGGAAAACCTTTTAGGTGGGTCCTACTCTAACCTTTCAACTTGCTTCCTTGAGTTTCTGGCAAATATATCTCTAATGAGACAGAGAATGGTAAAAAAAAACCTACATGCTTATTAACCCTTAATAGGGAACACATGGGTTGGGCATCAGCATTGTAACTTAGCTGTGCGATACAAAAGTGAATACAATACATATTATATACCGTTTTTCTCGTATACTAAAATACTGTTTTCCTTTCTAAAGATACCATTATTTTCATATCATATAATTTACTATAACAAATTTTATAAAATATGATGAAAAAATTTAAAAAGCACAATTTTTCTAACTTTGACCCCCAAAATCTGTTATGCATCTACAACCGCCAAAAAAGACCCATGCTAAATAGTTTCTACATTTTGGCCTGAGTTTAGAAACACCCAATGTTAACATGTTCTTGATCTTTGAATCAACCCTCACATGTACATTTTTTGTAGACAACCCAGGATATTCAATATGGGGTATGTGCAGTTAGCATTTATATTTGTTTGTGTGTTAAAAATGTAAAAAACAATTATGAACATTAACTTTGACCAGTGTTTGTGGCTAAGTGGCTTCCAAAAACGACTGTTTTCAAATGTTTTTTTTGCAAACTGACAGGGCTTTCCCCGTTTCTATGTTTGCACATTAAAATTTGCCAGATTGGTTTGCTGGACTGTATGGCAGCCCAGAAATGAAAATTAACCCCATCATGGCATACCATTTGTAAAAGTAGACAACCCAGGGTATTCAAAATGGGGTATGTCCAGTCTTTTGTAGTAGCCACTAGTTAGTCAAAGTTAGCATTCATATTTGTTTTTTGCATTTACACAAAAACTGCACTTTTACTGGTGGTTTCATCGTTCTGATAAGTTTAACTTTTTTGAAAAACTAATATTGTGTTCAGCGAAGTCTCCCGAGTATAACAACACCTCACATGTAAAAGTTTTATTGTGTTTTGGAAAGCTAGGGGGTTAAATATAGGGCTTTCCAATTAAATTCTCTGGACTTTCTGCCTGGGTTGTCAGACAGGTCTCTCAAATTATACTTAATAAAATTAAAAATTTATGTAGTTAATAGTTAAATATATATGTAGAATGTGTGTGTGTGTGTGTGTGTGTGTGTGTGTGTATATTTGAATTGTTTTGATAAAAGTCCAGATGGGACTGAACTGTTGACACTTTCTACTTGAAATTTTTGCTGCAATAAAGAAGCACTATTTTTGAACCATATCAAGTCCTGTGAGTGCTTTCCTACAAGGTATTCTATATATATTTTTATATATAAATATAAACATAAGCAAAATGTTTTTTTAATTTTTTAATTTATACTATCTATATATTTATATACATATATATATATATATACATATATATATATATATATAATACGTATGTGTGTGTGTGTATATATATATATATAATACATGTGTGTGTATATATATATATATATATATATATATATATCGTATATACTCAAGTATAAGACAAGTTTTTCTGCACATTTTTTGTGCTGAAAAAGCCCCACTTGTCTTATACTCGAGTCAGTTTCTGTATTATGGCAACTTATTTTGCCATAATACAGACCAGGACCGCTGTTGGGGGCTGGGAGCAAGCTGTTACTTACCTTTACAGCAGCTCCGGTCAGCTCCCTTCTCCTCCGTGCCGTTCAGCTCCATTGTAAGTCTCGCAAGAGCCGCAGCCATCAGAGCGTTGCCACGGGTTACCGTGGCAAAGCTCCGCGCAGTACGCAGACCGAGAGGTTTACACTGGAGCTGAACAGCATGGAGGAGAAGGAAGCTGACCGGAGCTGCTGTAAGGGTAAGTAACAGCTTTCTCCTAGCCCCCCTCCTGCACAGCCCATCTCCTGGACCACCAGGGAATAATATAGCCCCCCTCCCTGGCCATGTATCAAGCAGGGAGGGGGGGGCTAAAAAAATAAAATAAAAATTTTAATAATATTAAAATAAAATAAAAATGTAATAATATTAAAAAATAAAATAAAAATAAAATTCGATATTAAAATAATAATAAAAAAATAAATAATAAAAATGCCCACCCCCCACCAAGGTTACACACTCTGCATCACATACACAAACACACTCTGCATCATATGCACACACTGCATTCATACACACACACACACTGCATTCATATACACACTGCATTCATACACACACACTGCATTATATACACACACTGCATTCATACACACACACACACTGCATTATATACACACACACACTGCATTCATTATATACACATACACTGCATTCATTATATACACACACTACACAAACACACACACACTCCGCATTCATTATATACACACACTGTAAATAAATATTCAATTAATATAATTTTTGGGGGATCTAATTTTATTTAGAAATTTACCAGTAGCTGCTGCATTTCCCACCCTAGTCTTTTACTTGAGTCAATAAGTTTTCCCAGTTTTTTTGGGTAGAATTAGGGGCCTCGACTTATATTCGGGTCTACTTATACTCGAGTATATACGGTATATATATAAACACACATATACATATAATACATGTATATAATACGTGTCTGTCTATATATATATAAATACACAGATAGATAGATAGATACACACATACACGCTTTTATTTCCTATATATGTATAATATATTATAAAATAATTTAAGCATTTTAGAATATAGTATACATATATAATGCATATATATGATTGTGTATATGTGTATATATCTCAAAGTACACTTATTTATGTACAATATATTATAAAATGCTTTAACTATTTTATAAAATATTATACATATAACATATATGTATACTATATTTAATTTATTTATTTTAGCTGTCTGGGGGACTGCATTACAACTCAGGCAGTCCCCTGCTAGCAGCTCCATAGACTCCTATTTCGGCCATGTGATCATGGTGATCACATGGCCCTGGAGGGTCAGAGCTGTTGCAGTCCCCCCCCGACCAGTATCATCACGGATCTCCGTTCCAGATAATTAAATAGGGCCAATTTGCCGTTGATGTACCAGGTGCGTCCGAGGT